ACATAAATACGTACTAGACAGCATATTGCATACTGAAACGAAAGGTCTTAACCTTCTAAGACAATTTTGCTTATTTTTGAAGCCAGTATTATATTTTACAAGCTTAAAGGACAAGAAGAATGGATTGAAAACCCAGTCTATGGATTGCTTTCACACAACACAGTTTTGTTTCATTTCAGTATCATCTCTTATGGTGGTATATCAAATCTTTTGCTCATCTTTAAGAAACGAATAGTAAGTATAATATAAATTGAGTATAACGCAACTTTGACGTAGTATTGTGTACTACTACGCAGTACAGTACATATATTACTTTATACAGTAAATTCAATATAATAAACTATGCTTTATTTTGATACTCAACCTTTACAAGACGATTTATTATAATGCACAATATAATATATGAGATTTCGACGTACTATTAGAGCACGCTGTATGTTTTGACTAAAAATTGAAAAGTGAGATTTACAGAACTTTTGTTGATTCTTCTAATCTGATTATCTGTTGAATGTTCTTTTAGTAAACGAGATTTATAGAACACAGTTTCTTTTTTGTTTTTTTTTTCCACAGTTTGAGATTTTTAGATGAGTAGACTTATAAAGGTTTTTTATTTGCATTTCTAGAGTAGTAGTAATATTTCTTTGAGTCCTCAAAAGCTGAGCACTTCGGCTAGCTTTTTTACTCGTATACGACAATGGAAAGAATATCAAATAAGTGCCAGCTCCTATAAAAACTTAAATCTTGCATAAACAACATACATACATAGATTGTAGGTTCCTCGTCTTCGATTTTCAATGTTTTCTCGTTAGTACATTCCTTTACATTTTTCTTGCCAATAATGATGTAGAATAACATGTATTCAAGCGAATTAGATTGCTTCTTTTATTCCGCTTCTTTGGCTAATTTAATGCAGAAATGGATACCTTAGCTAACCATAGTTGTAAAGAAGACACCAATACATTTATGGGATGAATGTTTGTTGAAGGCTGATGACTTTTTTTTAAGCTAGCTTTCTAACATCTCGAAACAAATACTCTCTTCGTATAATGGAACATCTTGCGTCCTTATGACAATTAACTTATTCCCTTGCTTAAAAGGATACTAGCAATTAAATGCAGAAGTTAAGCTATTTTTAGCTATGGTGAAAAAGTATCTATTCGAGGTATTTTCTTCTGCTTCTCTAGTGAGTGACCCCGTTGTTCAAAAATAATGAGTAATTTTATTTTTACATTTACGTAAAGAATTAAAAAAATAGCTTTGAATCTAAAAAGTATGTACTAATCGTCCACACCTTTTAAGATTACATTGAAACCTCCTTAAACTTCTGTACTTATCCTATGAAAAACCACTTGTATCTACTTGCATAATACCTACTGAGCATAGTAAGGTATTAGTAGAGAGTTCGATTAAGTCGATGATCAATTGATGTTGTTCAAGGTAACTAAAAAATGTAACGATAAAAAATAACAATCTTATGTTATATCGAGGGTGCTGAGAGAGTCGCACGATTAGTGACATCTGCTATGTACACAACAATAGACTGCGTTGTCAATAACGTGAGACATTCGTTTATGCAAAAAATATCCACTTAAAAAATAGTAGTAAAAAAGTGGACAAGCCAGAACTCGAATCTGGGACCTCTTCCATGCTAAGGAAGCGTGATAACCATCTACACCACATGCCCGCTTATGTTAGTACAGCATTTAAACTAATATTTTTGGCTATATCGTTTAGATATTCAGAGAACCGTTTATTTTTTAAAAGTTTACAACTCTGTTACATCGAGAATACGCCGAGAGTCTCTAGCGCATTATAAACCCTTTCTGCCACATGGACTGAATAAAAGGAAGTAAAAAATATATAAGTAAATGTACAACAGCCCTATTTAAACTAGCATCAAGAGCGAAACTATATTTCCCTTCAGATACCTATTTATAAAGGTATAATGTTGACTGTGTCAGCGACGAAGTAACCTTTCAGAAAATTTTTATTGCTATCATTCATCGAAGTAATGTTTGATGAGTATTAATATAGTTGAGTGTGGATTTCGTAATTGGTAATTGTATCTGTTAAGTTGAAACTGAATTAGAATATATGGTTATTGCTAATCTTAGTATAGAAAAAAATTGATTGGCTAGTTAACGCAAATATACGGACTTACTCGGAAAAATCACCCTCGTTGATGATTTTGTTTGGAAACATTCTCGGTAATTATTCCTCCTCTGTTCGAATACAATTACTAATTAATCATGTGAATATAATTGGTGTTTGAATTTGTGTTTACACTTCTCGTTTCTTTTGTCTCCAATTCATGTAATACCTAATAATAATTCAGCGCTACGAATTTCGGGTAATACTTAGGAATATTAGGATTTTATCAATAAGTAACATTAAACATTCTTTCACAACTTGTAGATTACTTTGTTTTAGCACATCCTTGCTTTTTAAAACGAACGGCGGATACAAAGGTGTTGGAACAGTTAGTGTCTATGGTAGGAAAGCGAAACTACAAATCTTAAAGGTTAAATACAGAATAA